TATGAAGTTGAGGTGCATAGTTTTAGAAGTACGATAAAGAAATAAAAATACCTAGACTTACTTATAGAAGTTGGATTTATATCAGTTGTTAAAGTTTGGTAACTAAGTCTAGTCAGCACGATGAAACGGGATTTTATTTAATGTCTAAACCCAACAAATGCTTACCATTCTATTATGTTTTTGGGTTATAATCCCATGTTCTAAGCAGAAAAGAAAATATTAGTTGGGGGGTTAAAAATCATCAAGAGAATGTACACATAATATTTTCAACATTCATCCAATTAAGTAACAACAACTGGTATTACTTGCTCAGTATTTACGTTCATTCACAAACATTATATTCATCACAAAAGATGAAAGTACACCACCTGTTCCGGACTGAGTGAAAAAGGTCCAAACTTCACTGCATTTGGACTTGGTTGATCCGAGGTTCTTTCGTACCACATGGCATTCACTAACATCGATAAATACAGCAATGCCATGCAGCTGGAAACTCGCTGGACTCTGGTGAACCGACTGCGTGGAGGACGAGTAAAAACCGAAAACCACAAGTGACCATCAGTCAAGTTTTTCTGGGAGGTTGTCGAGAAAAGGTGAGAGAATTCTGACAACTGAGCTTTTCCAGCCACAGGAAGTAGACGATCAACCTGAAAGAAACACATTTAATAACTAGTTTTATCTTTAGCAAGTTTTATGAAACATATGGAAAGTTTTCACAGCAATGACAATTCATTTACTTCTGTGTAATACTGAAAAACGACCTTAAGTTATTATTTTAGATTTTCTTTGCTACAATACACTAACAAGAAAAGCCCTTACTTAACACTTTCAATTACTAACAAAGAAACTTTGTCACACACAACATTTCCAGTACCCGATGATAATAAAAGCTTGTGGACATACAACATTTCCAGTACCTGATGATTAATAAAAGCTTGTGGACATACAACATTTCCAGTACCCGATGATAATAAAAGCTTGTGGACACACAACATTTCCAGTACCTGATGATAATAAAAGCTTGTGGACACACAACATTTCCAGTACCCGATGATAATAAAAAGCTTGTGGACATACAACATTTCCAGTACCTATTCAAGCAGTATTTTCTAAAAGGCGGTTTCCTAGTCCAACTCAATTTTTCAGATAAATTATATTTTTGTGAGTTTGGTCTTTTGACTGAACTTAATTATTTATTGTTTCTTTCAATTGATAATAAAATAGTTGTTGAACATTAAACAGATTTAATTTACTAAAATATATACTTTTTATACATGTTTTTTTACCATTCCATCATCCTCTTCAACAGCAAACCAACGATTAGACACAAATTCAAATTTGTGACCAGTTTGAACATCTCGAAATACAACGTATTTCAGGAACCACGACTTCCACTTCCCCTTTCCCGAGTTGTCATGCCAGATGCGTATGAAGTTTAGTTGACCGAGACTCCTATAATAAATATAATAATTACATCAATATAACGATAGAAACATCTACGTATGTATATACAAGTTCCATAAAATAAAGAGAATTTATTTCAAACGAAACAGTACCTGGGGACGGCCATGACAAACACGTCCACTCCATTACGACGCAATATTGACCTCTTGGGATCATCCAAAGTTCTTACTTCTGTCTCATCATCATCGCCAGAAACAATAAACTGTACCTATGTACAGGAAAGTTAGAAAACAACTTATCATAGATATCAGTAGTATTCTACTTATCATCAGCATGAACACAAAACTTGTTACTGAATGTTCTGTCATCCTGACAAGTGTAAAGATATAACAACCATTTTAACATGGTGAAGAAAACAACGTGTTAAAATATCAGAAATACTTTAGCAAGAAAGGTGGTCATGAGTGTTTGGTGCATCATTTGTTTTGTACGACCAATAGATTAATGTACTGGCTAAATGTTTGATAATACAGGTTTAACTAGGGTTCATTTTGAACAACCAATAGATTACTGTACTATCTAAATGTTTGATAATACAGGTTTAACTTGGGTTCATTTTGTACAACCAATAGATTAATGTACTATCTAAATGTTTGATAATACAGATTTAACCTGGACTTAAAATAAGACCCAAAACTCGGGTGCCTTCAAATACTTGACTATTCTTCTTCAGGATAACAAAAGGTTTGTTC